CTTTCGAGTCGGGAGAACGGAAACGAGCATCAGAGGTGAGATGCGGTGAGTTATGGCTTGGGTGGATTGGGTTGGTTTGGAGTGATCTCCTGAAGGTGCCCGCAATTGGCGCTTCCCTCAACTAAAAGGTCATGTTTCTGGCCCATGTAGCATGTGTGAAAAATTGCTGGCGTTTGCCATCTGCGCGAAACAAACCAAGAACGTTTTGGCTAGTGGGAAAGCAAGAATTTGTCCCAAACAATTAAGCTGCAAAATCCAGCCAAGCCAAGCAAAGGTCCTAGTCCACCACTTCCACGTCCCATCTGCCCTACTGAGTGGCTGGGAAACACATTGTATTTTGGCAAGGCTGACAAACACCTCTTGAAAAGGCCCCTTGTCCCCAAACGTCGGCTTCCACAATTGGGAAAATGGGAAAGGTATGAAGTCTCTGGACATTTGGGTATGTGTCAAAGGGATTTGGACCCCACCGTGGCGTGTGGCTTCCCACTCAACCAACCGTTAAAGGGTTAGCACCAGAAAAAGGCAACAGCAGAACAACACAACATTGCAAAATATGGCTAAACCTCAAACAACCTCAAAGGTTGAAAGAACAATTTGAAAAGAACACTTAAAGGTCAAACAATCATCAAACTCAGTTGCCCAGCAGACCTAGAAACAAAGGGTGAACCAACTCTCAAGCGAAGACGAGAGCGGCTTTTCTCCATCCAATGCGGCGTGTCGCCGCGCGCAAAGAGGCTAATGATAGCCAAAGGGCGCCGCTTGAGCCCGAGGGCAAACGGATGTGGGCCTGATTGGCAACTGAAAACCGAAAGAACCGCACGGAAACCATCAAACTGAAGTGTTTTTCTTTTGCCAATCAGGTGCGGCCTTGTCTTCCCGAAGGGTGATCGTCGGCCGTTGCAGCCACCTTCGGAATTCATCATGCAATTGGGCGTTGACCGTGGTCAGCCCATCGGCTCACATGACTCCTGTTGGAATCCAACGGATGTCCTCTGAGGATAGGAAATCCTGCACACTGCGACCTGCTATCAACGTCCGCTTTTCACTAAGGGACGGATTTGCTGAAATCACAGCATCGAACAGACTTTTGCAGTCCGTCGCAGCTACCTGTTTCAGCATGGGCTTGCTGCGGGCGGTGTCCTGGTCGTAGAGCAACTCAGTCAAAAAGTGGTTGTTGCTGTAGGTGAGGCGGTCAATGGCCTCGTCCAGGGCGTTGGCTTCACTTGCCAGCGTAGAGCGTGTCACTCTCGGACCGTCACCGTCCGCTCTTCCAATCCAAAACCGATCCTCGCCCATCTGGCTCTTGCTCTGGCGAGCGTTTGCCCAGCTGGAGTCTGAGTATGCCACGAGGGTCGTAGACCGATCCATGGGAACGGCGTAGAACACCAGGCCACTCTCCGGGGTGCTTTCGCGTAGTCGATGGTGTTGTAGAGCTCCTGCATGTGTGCGGGTGTGGTTTCCCGGCCATGGTTGCAGAGGCTTGTCGGCGCGCTTGTCGGCGCGGTTTGACTGCCAACCATCGTTGACGCTGCTGAACTCCTTCCGCTTAGCGCTATTCAGCTGGTCGTCCTGAAGACGTCCCTTGTCCACCTTGCCGGTGTCCATCTCGCTGATGAAGCTCTTCTGGGTCACCTTGATGACCTGGTAGTCGCCCTCCTGAACCAAGTTGATCTCCTTGCCGCGGAAGATGATAGGGCTGCCCACAGCCAAGGTTGAGGTAGTTCCTCACGTGAACATGCCCATCTTCTTTTTTAGCGGGTAGCGGTCAGAAAGTCACCCACGTGTATGATCATCACAGCCAGCAAGAGTCCCTGGCTGCCGAGCCGGTAGAGGAGCATGCGGTCCAGCCAGTGTTGACGAAAGTCAGCTTTCTTGGCCTCCTTAATGACGTGGTTAAGCCATGTTCTTGGAGGAAGCGAACCCATACAAGTTCCCGCGCACGAGGTACAGGTCGGATGATTCGAAGGTGCCGGCCATCTGCTGAATGCCGTCACGAGGTGCTCTCATATAGAGTGGTTGTCAGGTTCTCCCTGTAGGAACGCCGTCGAAACACTCCACAGGTGCCACTTCTTGCCCGTGAGCTGAACCTTCTTGTTGATGCCCGAAGCGGCCAGTTGCAGCAGCATCATCTCTGCAAACTTCGTTGGGGTCGGAGCGCTCCCCCAAGTCTCGGGTATTGGTTTTTACCAATATCGCTCGGTTTTCAAAAAGGAAACCAATCCTCGCTCGGTAATTTACAAATATTGGTTTTTCCCATCTTGCTCGCTCGAAAAGAATGATATTAAGATTTCCAAGAAAATACTGATATTTAAATATTGATATTTTTACATGTTTTCATGTGATGAAGAAGTTGCATTGTGTTTGTTCTTGGGGTTCCTATACTTGGGACTGCAAAGTCCAAGGAAGGACTGCAAAGTCCAAGGAAGGACTGCAAAGTCCAACAAAGGACTGCAAAGTCCAACGGGGTCAGGGGTGGACTGAAAAGTCCACGCAGGATTGCAAAAAAGGCCAGAGCAAGACAAGCTTGAGCAGATTGTCAAATGCAAAGCTTAAGGATAGGATTGCAGATTGTCAAATGCAATGGCAGCACACACACAGGCACCAAACATGGAGCAAGACAGGCAGAATTTGTTGATTGACACGCTATTGTGTGATGTTCCTTCCAACAGTTTTTGCAGATGCTGCACTTTTGAAATTGAGGACTCATCAGGTTGTGTGCTTGCTGTGTGCCACAAAGGTTTGTTTGCTGCAGCATATATTTTGGCAGTGCTGCCAACTGTTTTGTTTCATCCTTCTGGTGAGTGAGCCATGGCCAGCAGATCCCTCAAGCTTGCCAGGGATGCTTCAAGGAAGGCAACCATCAAGGGTGCTGTGAAGAAGTATGACTCAGGAGACCTTGAAGACAAACTGGGGGCCTACATCAGGCACACAGGGGTGGAGCACTGTTTCGACTTTGGCCCCTACAAGTCTATGCCTGCAACTTTTGCAGTGAGGGGGAGGGCTGTGGTGGCTCTGGAACCTTTGGTGCGGACCATTTTGGAAGTGACACCTGCCTTACAGTACTTGATACAAGTTTATTGCATTTTATGGTTCTAGCATCTAGTTGCTGTGAAAATGGGTTTGCTTGCAGCACACAACCCAGGAATCCACAAGGAAGGCTGCTACAGGTGGAAACTGAGAAGACCTTGGCTAACTTGGCCATCAAGTATGAGTTGTGCCAAAAGCAGCAGCTGAAGAACTACTCCCATGAGCTGTATGAAAGGATGGTGGTGATCCTTAGCCATGTGAGGCGCCTGAAGAACCCTGTCAAGTGGCAACAGTGCAAGAGGGGCTTGACAGACAAAGAAATTTCTGTGCTGGAAAACCTGGTGGATGATGAACCTGGGCCTGCAAGGGCCTCCTTGCCTTCAACCCTCCAAAAGGACAAATCACACACAGACACACACCAGCCTGATGACCCAGCTAACTGCAATGACAGCAGCCAGGAAGAGATGGAATGGAACACACCCAAGAAATGCTCCAGCCAAGGCAGCATTGACAAAGTGCCAACCAGCAAGGATGCCATCAAAAAAATGTGGGAAACAACAGCAGCCATCCCTGGTATCCTAAAGAAACCAGCAGCAAACAAGAAGGACACACAAGGCAGTGACATTGGCATGAAATTGGTTTTTGCCAAGCAGCAGTCCTACATACAGACCAAAGACCCAGTTGATGGGAAGTGGAAGCTTCTGGTGGCAGTGAGTGAAAAGCAGAGCCCTGATCACAAAACCATCATTGAGTTGATCAGACAGGAGAAGCCCAAGAACAAGAAATTGGCAGTGAAGCTCAGGAACTTTTTGCTCTCAGATTGATGTGTTGTCTCACTTTGGTGTGGTCATATGCAAGAGGCTGCAGTGGAAAATCGCAACTGCAAACACTGCAAACCCTGGCACAAGGCAAACAATAAGAACCAGGCATGATTATAGCAGCTACTGTTGGTTACACTGGTTTTGTGCTCTTACAAGCCCTTGCTTGCAGGTTTCAATTGCAGGCATGCAAGCATGCTTGCAATGTTCAGCCTGTCTTTGGGTTCACATGTTGGCCATGTGTTTGAGTTGGCAGTCACCTGTTTGACTTTGCAGTCATGTCTGGTCCTGCCTGACTTTCAGTCATGTGTTTGACTTTGCAGTCATGTGTTTGACTTTGCAGTCATGTGCCTGGCTTTGCAGTCATGTGCCTGGCTTCGCAGTCATGTGCCTGGCTTTGCACCCATGACAGGGCACCCTTGTGCTACTAATTAAATGGCTTTGCGACTGCATGTGTTTGGCTCTGCTGCCATACTTGTGGAGAGGCTCCTTGGCAACCCTGACTTTGCAGTCATGCCTTGGTTTTGCAAGGTTTGTAGGGTTGAAGCAGTTTAGCCCGTACATGATTGATTGCTGTGGTTTCCCCTTGTGAGCTTGTGAAACCTTGCCCTATTGGATTGCCCATGCAAGCCATGCAATGTCATGCTTGCTGCAGGCACTGAATGCAGCTTGCTGTTGGTGATCTGAGGGTTGATGAAGGTTGGCAGTTCAGCTTGGCTGTGGGAAACTATATTGGTTGGTGCCAGCTGGTTGTGGCCCAGGCTAGTTAGATTTGGTGTGCCTAGAAATCTGCCAGAGCCATGTCCAAGGGAGGCAGCTGGAGGATGGGCCCTTATCAGTCGGGGTCCTGGGGTGGATATGGAAACTATGGTGGCAAAGGGGCCAGGAGTTCAGGGTTCAGCTGAGAGTGATGTGGGCAGAGAGTGGAAGAGCCTCAGTTGCAGCTATAGCAGTTTTACAAACCTGGTTGTTAGTTTTGCATTTTTATTTGGTGAAGCCTGCAATGCCTTGCCCAGGTAACCTGCCTTTTCATGATTGGCTGATTCAAGCTGGCAATGCAGCAGCTGTTTTTCAGCAAGATGATGAGATGTCCTCCATCAGAAATGTGGTCATTGACGTGATGACCGACTACCAGAGGCAGCAGCAACAGCAGCA